TTAAGATGATGACAATGATGATGATAATGGTGGTAGTGATGTGTACTAAAGGGAAAATTGTCAGGGAAATGCCAGGGATCTTGATAAAAATCAATGCTTAATCAGAAAAAAAAAAAGAAAAACAATTCTGAGACATTTGTATTTTGTGTGTTATCTGTGATGGTGTGCGTGTGTGTGTGTGTGTGCGTGTGCGCGCGCGCGTGTGTGTGTGTGCGTGTGCGTGCGTGTGTGTGTGTGTGTATGTGTGTGTGTGTCTGTCTGCCTGTCGTTGTCCCGCCCCCCCCCCCCCCCCCCCCCCCCCACTCCGAGAACGGACGGACCCCATGCGTGTTGCCAAAATGTCCTTTTCGTAACAAAAGAAAAAGGTCGACCCGTATTGACTTTACACACCGGACTTTTGCTGTAAGGGGGGGGGGGGGGGGGGGGGGGGGGGGGAGGTGCTGAAAAAGGCTCGTATACAAAAGAAAAAGGTCGAGCCGTATTGACTTTACACACCGGACTTTTGCTGAAAGGGGGGGGGGGGGGTCGTGGAACACGCATATGCGTACCCTAAATAACACTGAGTGGGGGGCCGGGGTCTTTGTTCAATGCACTGTTTTATTCATCACCCAGTAAGTTGGCGCAAATCTGGCAGTCTTGTAAAGACTGTCTGATGTCATGCGTGAAGGGATTTAAATGAAAATGGTACCTAAATTTACTGGGAGGATAACTCTATCAAGACATATCATTAAACCCCTAATTAAATATTCATACTTCAAACAATACAACTTTTAAAAAGTGGGACATTCTTTCTGACTCACCCTGCACGTCTCGCGATGTGACAGATCACTTTTCTCTAACTTCTATCATATTGCCTCCGATTGTCTCTTTTTCGCTCGCTGGAACATTGCCAGCACAAACCACTGACCTCATCTCCTGGACGGATCATTGCCCATTCCCATTCACTATATGTTATGTACTAAAAGGCTGTATTGTCTGACCGTTCATGAATATTAATGTTTTTGCGGGTGTTTTTGCTTACCTCGGCAAAATGTTTGCTTTATGATGGATAAATTACGGTGGGGGTTGGATGAAATGGACATAATGAACCAAGCAGAAGTGATCTATGATATCCCAAGACGAAAAGTTGAATCCCCATATGAACAAATTTCGGGCATCTGCTAAACGCGGACTCGCTCCGCGGTCTACAACACGTGAAATCTTCTTTGAAAATGCGCTAAGTGTGCAAAGAAATGCTCCTACAATGAAAAGAAACTTTGATTTCACATCAGCTCGGGTGGAAATCACATATTCAATTACTGTTCTTTCCATTGAAACCAATTTCGAAGTGATTTGTTCACTGGAAATTAGGGCCTTTTCGTCTTCAAAAGGGGACAACAATCATTTTCTTTGTGAATTCTCTATGGAGGTCACATGAAAATTCGCCTTTTTCACTGGGGTTGTGTACTTCAAGTAGCTAATGATCGAAACTGCGACTTGTTATTGGGCCAGCTCGGGCGCCAAAACAGAGGATATGTAATCCCCTACCGTCTGATGTAACACATAATTTGATTGGTTGTCGAAAAATTAGGGCCAATTTCAATCCAATAAAAAGAAGCTTTCTGAAATTTACGCATCGACCTCCGTAATTTATGCATTGTGCGTAAGCGAAGTTTTTACACAGCGGACAATGTAGCCTCTTGTCGATGCCCTCGCGCTGTTGGAGTCTCTAAATTCTGACGAGCGAAGCGAGTCAGAGAAACCGAGGCGCTTGCGCGGAGGGCCTCTTGACAAGTGATCTGAATTATATATTCATGAGACCCGATTTCCTACTGAATTATGCATGTCTAGACCGCAGCGATTGTGTGTGTGTGTACGTGTGTGTTCGGGATTGCCCAACTAGGCTAGTCTGCAAGCACAGACCCTAATTTGACACTTTATCAAAACATCATTGTGCCTTGAGAGAAGCCTAGCCCAGCTATCTGCTGGTACCTACTGGTTGTACCAATATAGGTCAGGAGCAGCTATAGTACATGGTATATGGTAGTCTTATAGTGCACACTCTCTTTTAGGACTGACCAGGGTTTGTGCTTGCAGACTACAACTAGGCGGCCAGTGTCGCTCTCACGGAGGGAATTCGCACAGAGCGGTAGATATTACGTCATAGTAGCTCTCTCTGATTGGATGACTTTCACCGAACTCTGCTGGGTCGGAATATTCGCCAAACAATGTAAAACATAAGAAATTCAGATCACTTGTCAAGAGGCCCTCCGCGCAAGCGCCTCGGTTTCTCTGACTCGCTTCGCTCGTCAGAATTTAGAGACTCCAACAGCGCGAGGGCATCGACAAGAGGCTACGGACAATGAGGCATACACACCGTGCTCGCAGCCGTGCGTATTTCGACCACACATTTGACTCAGCTCCGCGGCGATGGAAAAGACACATTTTATGTTGATTTCAGCAATTTACTGAAGGGAATTTAGATATTATGGACGATCTTTTACAAAAAAGGTGTGTAGGGATTAGATTATATCTTTCACGAGACACTGAATTCTTTAGTTTTCCTGAAATTTAGCTAATTAATGGCACTCTGAACTCGCTTTATGAGCAGATCTTAATATTCATGGTCGATCTGCTAGTGAAGGAATCGCGTATTCATATTGCAGGGTGATCCCGCCCATCTTAGACGGAGGGATTACAATGGACTTATGCATTGTGATGTGCATCTGCATCTACTAGACTAACATATATAATTTCCTGATTTGTTTTCTTTTTTTCGGGAGAAGAAGAGGGAAGAGAGAGATAGAGCATGGACATGAACAGAGAGAGAGAGTTGACAAGTCACGCTCGCACAGCGGTGTTGACATTCACACTCTCACCAGTTTTCTACGATAAACCCCTATTTCATAAAAATCGACGAGTCCAGCACCTTGGTGTTACGCTCTAGTGCACTCGATCGTTCGTCGTCTGTGTGGGAGGTACACAAAATGCCTCATTGATCTTTTGGCCGAATGTGGGTCAAATTTGTTCAACTAGCAATTGGTTTTAATGGGGACCAATTGCCAATTGATTCCGATGGGGACCAATTGCCAATTGGTATTCAATTAGGATTCAATGGGGACATTCAATGGGGATTGGTAAATCGATCCAGGTAGAAGAACCAGTGATAAATTACTGATACTTATTTCATAGTCGATATTGGCAACTTTCCACCAATTAGGTATATTATAATCTCAACTGCATTAACTCCATCACATATCATTTAAAGTGAATTCAAGAGTAATATTTAAAGTGTCACAGGCTCGTACACATGCATATTGTTTCTTGGTTAGTAATCATAATATATCTATTGCTAAAACGTGAATGTAATTGTAACATGATGAGACAAAATAATCTATTGGTTAATAATTGCCGAAGGAAAATAGAAATTACAAAATTGATGTGAATTGTCATAATTTGCTGAACAAAATATCACGATAAATGTATTTTTCTGTGACACGTGTAAAGGAATAATGAATATGCATGAGATACGTAGATCCGTTGGTTTCTATTAATTTCTATTAGTCCTATTAATTGTATGGGCTTTATTGGTCTTATCGGTTTCTATTGTTCCTATTGGTTTCTATTGGTCCTATTGGTTTCTATAATTGGTCCAATTGGTTTCTATTTAGCATTCATATGGCTCCGTTTAGTCTCATTTCACAACGCCCCCTATCGTCAGAGCATGATCAGCAGCCTAACATGTTAGCATGTGGACGTTTTTTTTTAAAAATCGTTAAAAATTCATTTTTTGTTTAAATGAAAAGCACATCCACCCCGACGTACGTTATCACTAGCTCTTTCATTGGAGCCCTCATGTCTTATTGACTTTTGAAAGTTCACCCACCGTAATTTTTCATTGCCTATATAACATGTGAAACAAGTCTAACTTTGGACTCAGTTTACCAAGCAATTTGAAGATTATATAGGTCGAGCACACGAAACATAAAAAGCATGAATTATCATAGATCACTTCTGCCTATTTCATTATGTCCATTTCATCCAACCCCCACCGTAATTTTTCCATTTAGTAAAAACAAACATTTTGCCGAGTTTAGCAAAAACATGAATATTCATGAACGGTCAGACAATACAGCCTTTTAGTACGTAACGTATAGTGAATAAGAATGGGCGATGATCCGTTCAGGAGGTATAGGTCAGTGGTTTGTGCTGGCAATGTTCACGCGAGCGAAAATGAGACAATCGGAGCAATATGGGTCCTATTGGTTTCTAAGGGTCCTATTGGTTTTTACTGGTTTCAATTGGCCCTATTAGAGTTTAATGGGATTTCAATTGGACCCATCGGCCCCATTAGACTTTAAAAGGTTTTCAATTGGTTTCAATAAATTGGACCAATTAAAGTCCAACATAAGACCAAACATTGAAACCAATTGGGGTCCCATTAAAGTCTAATGAGGCCTAGCTAGGCCAATGGGGCCAATGGGTCGACCAATATAGGTCCAATAGGGCCAATCTGGACCAATTGAAACCATCTGAAGTCCTATTAAAGTCCCGTTGAAACCTGCCATTGAGACCAATTAAAACCAATTGGAACTAATTGAAACCAATTGATAATTCAATTGGTTTTCAATTGGTTTCAATTGGGAATTCATGCTTCTTATTCTTCGCCGTGTGCTTGACCTATAATCTTAAAATCGCTTGGCAAACTGAGTCCAAATTTCGACTTGTTTCACATGCAATGACGAGCTTGCAACCTATTTTGATCAAACTACGGTGGGTGAACTTTCAGAAGTCAATGGGACATGAGGGTTCCAATGAAAGAGCTATATATAGTGATACCGTATATAAGTCGGGGTGGATGTGCTTTTCGTTTAAACAAAAAAAAGGATTTTTTTTTAAACGATTTTCGTTTACAATTCCATAGGCTAAAATGTATGGCTGCTGACTCTGACGATAGGGGGCGTTGTGAAATGAGATTAAACGGAGCTTTATGATGAACCAATGAGTAAGCCTCGCTTTTTTCAAGGAAGTGCCGGTGGATATATGCGCCAAATGTGGTTCTCAAACTGCAAAAGATCCCTACTCTTGGAGGGGGTAGGAGAAATCAATTTTACGTCATATTTTTCCAGGAAGTGTCTGAAAATGCGCCTATTATGTGGTACAACTTGCAAATCCCGTTGCAAATGCTTCCGCCCAGAGGCTATACCCCCGCTTGGTCGCTCGATCTGTCGCAAATTCGCTCCATTGTTTTTCATATATTTCACCCCATGCGATTATTTTTCATTTAGACCTAGTTTAAATATCATAAGATAAATTTAAAAACATGCGAATCTAATCCCTTACTAGTAAGAGATTAGATTTCCTATTGTTGTTATACCGTCAGCCTAGACGTGCAAAATTCTCCTTTTCCTTTTCGATTATACGATTTAGAGACACTATAGGACCCATTATTGGTGGCTATCCTCCTCTTATTGGTCGTGTGCTTTCAATGAGCGATAAATACTCGGATCCGTGAACAACCTGAGAGGAGATCACATTCAAATGTTCTCAAATTAATTTGTTAAAGAATTTGATGGGAACCGCCATTTCCTCCATATTACGCCAAGAATGAACGTAAGTAAACATAGATTCTATGTAACTCGGCGTCGGAGCTCCTTGGAAGTTGGAGTTAGCATTGACTCTATGATTTCCTTGAGTGGCCTAGGCTACTCCAGGAAGCTCTGATGCCTAAGGCGTCGGCGTCGGAGCTTCCTGGTAGGGAGGCCAATGCCCAAATCTAACTTTTTAATTACTAATTTGTTTATAATAAAACAAACATTAAAAGAAAGCATTTTCTTTCACTAAGACAACTCACCCATCTGCCGACTCTAGAATTTCCATAAAATAGGAGATATCCAGCTCTTTTGTAATTAGAGTAATTAAAGACCGCCAAACTTCGGACACTTAACAGTAGGGCCCTAGGCTCTAGCCCTAGGGGCGCTGGTCCGAGAATGAGGATCGTCTTCATAAACGAGGATCGTCTTCGTAAACACGGACTGATGCGTCCTCAAAAATAAGGACCGTCTGCATTTTTGGAGACGTTTCATATTTTAGATTGGCACATTGGCGATCCAAAAAACGGATTCTGCAATGATTTTCTTGATGCATTTTACATTGACATTGTACAGAGGCCTTCACATTATAAGCAATAAATCCTTGGGAAGACGGACAACCCATAAAAGTAAATGGTGAACTAGGGTTATTTTCCCCCAGGGAATCCATTTTTGGCATCGCCAGCAGGCCGTTCTGTAACATGAAACCCCCAGAGCGCTGATGAAAAAAAACGTCCTCGAAAATGCAGACAACCCTTATTTTTGAGGACGCATTTTGTCCTCGTTTATGAGGATATCCTTGTTTATGAGGACGATCCTCATTCTCGGACCAGCGCCCCTACTGCTTAAGACAAACCGGGGGAAAACATTAAATTCTTTTTTTAATTAGTGAAAGATCAAATATACTATTATTGTGCAAATACTGTTTATGTATGTCATGAAAAGAAAATTAGTAAAGGAAATGGAAAACTAGAATTATTTACTTACCCGCCGAACCTTTTTTCATGCCAAGCTTCGGACGCACTTGCTAAGCTTCGGACGTTCATTTGTAGCGCCCGTATAACGCACGTATAGCGCATAGCGCACGTACAGCGCACGTATAGCGCATGCGCTATAGTGCGCATTCATCGGAGGTTTGGAAACCGGATCAAAAATCGTTCGACGGGGGTAAGTTTGACTGCGTTGATTTCATGAAAAAAATATTATTTTCTCGTTTTTGGTAGATTTATTTTAGGTAGAACTATCAGAAAGGTGTTTTTAACAACACTCACACAATATTTTGGTGCTAAAATCTTACGAAAGCGCTATTTTTTCGTAGTCAAAATGACACTCAATTTTGCCTGTCCAAAGTTTGGAAGAGCGCCATCTTCTGGTAGGAGTACCTGTATAGTACCCCTAGGTCCGTGGTAAACGGCCGCCATTAGAAAAATTTCGCGATAGAGTGAAAAAGTATCTCATAAGCTCCCATAATTTTGGCAGAAACCACCTGAAATATGCCAAGGATTTGTTTTTAATCGATATATTGGAGGCTCTATACCTTAACTCCCCTGTTAAGGAACTGTAAAAATCCAGGTAACCTGAAATCTGTCTCTGAATTCGATGTTTTTTGTGAGTTTTGCAGACGGCAACCTGCCCTAACTTTCTGTACTAACGATGTAGGTTAGTAGTAGTATCAAATGCATGCAAGTTACCCGCCTGAGCTAGGCTCATATTTTGCGTTCGAGCCGTTGAAGTAATTTTTGTCCGAAGTTTGGCAATGTCCGAAGTTTGGTGGTTTTACTCTATAGGCCTTTCAATCTACGCCTGGCCGTACGCAAGAGCCTTGAAACAATCAATTTCATGGTCCCCAAAATTACGTTGAGAATTAGACGGGCCCGAGGGAATAGGCGCATCATTGCCCTGACAACAAATTCAAAACTTTGCGCGAAAGTACATTCATCATCACCGGCTAGCCTTGAATCGGTCGCACACACCGAAACCGCAAGCCGCAATACAGGCTGAAGTTGAAATCGAACCATCAATGTATGTACGACAATAACTAGATCCACGAGTAAAAAAAAGAAGGAAAGAACTAGATTTAATTCATTAATATTTACCTTAGATTGTTATTCCAATGACTTGATTTCCTCATGAAGCTACAAGGGGACACCACCAGAAGCTGTATAAGCAAAGGAGCAACACAGCCCTAAGTAGGGTGTCTGATCGCGCACCCGATGTTGTGTGCTAAAACCCTTCCCATAGAGATTGTACGCATCCCTATGTGGTCTACGTGCATTGCGCGACCATGCAAAATTGGTCAATGATTTTATGAAAAAATTTGAAATTTAAACCTTTATAACAAATGATCCTGAAGGTGAAACTCATATGAAAGAGCAGGTTTTTCTCCATATTCCTCATAGAGGGCCACCCCCAGAATTCTAAAAATATCTTGGTCAAAACAGCGATTGAAATGTTGTTTGCATCCTACATGTAGCTCCAAAATTTGCCACTTTCCTGAGCTGCGCCCCCGCGGCTTAAGTAGGGCTAGACGTAAGGATAATATCCAGGTGCTTTTTTTTTCGCTAGCCCCAAGGGATCATTTGTTACAACAGTTTGAAAATACCCTTCCCACATTTTTGGAATCAGCTAATTAGGGAGGCGTGAGCTTTGCTCAGTCCAAACCATGGTTACATCGCGTAACATCTGCGCGTATAGTGAATGAAAGTATGGATGGCCTTTCGCACCAAAAAACCCGGAAGTGAATACACGTTATAGTCAATGGCAATATCGCGGAGACAACGTGCACGTTGTCTCCGCGATATTGCCATTGACTACAACGTGTATTCACTTCCGGGTTCTATGGCGCGAACGGCCACCCATACTAGTCAATGGCACATATCGCGGAGACAGCGTGGCTCAAGCTGCAAGTCGGGCATTGGCATGGCAACATGCGTACTATATGCATACGCTTGCATATCGCGCGATACAGCTGTTTGTCTGAATTTAGCAAAACAACATCACTCTTGCGTGGACGTCTTTTTTGTTGATTTTGACCAAAATGATATGAATATACCAGCGTTTTGGAGGGGCTGTATCTTTTGATAGAAACATTGGCGAGACTTGAAATTTGAAATGTATTATTCTGATTACATTTTTTATTCAAATATCAAACAAAAATGGTGAAAAACGATCCCAAATCGAAAATTGAAAAATCGTTCAGACACCCTACCCTAAGAAGAAACAGCTTCAGTCAGAGAGTAGTAGAATCCTGGGGGGTGTTTCACAAAAATCCTAAGTAGAACTTAACACTAAGTTGGACTTAAAAGTTATGGACAGCCATTGGAGCCTTAAAACGAAATATATTCAAAAGCAGAAATTCAAATATTTTGGACTTTTTATAAATTCCACATCCAGAACATGAACTCTCCTTGATGATAGAAAATATAAATGATTTGAATCAACATTTTATGCCTTTCAAAATAACTTTTACAAAATATTTTCAAAGATGCTAATGGCTTTCCATAATTTTTAAGTCCAACTTAGAGATAAGTTCAACTTAGAATCTTTGTGAAACATCCCCCTGGAATAGTCTTCCTACATCTGTCATCTCCTCATCCTCAATCACTTCTTTCAAGATTAGATTGGACAAGCATTGGTCCTCTCAGCACCAAATGCTTCCATAAAATTTATATGTGCGTCCACCCCCCATGCTAGCAAAAATAGTTCAGGTTCATTTTTGAACGAAGCACCACTCAATGAAATGACGGGAAGTTTCAACAGGATCACCTCACACTTCCGTATACTGATGAGTATTAGACCTCTATAATTTCAGTTTAGTGTACAAATCAACTACATGTAGAACGACCTCCAAAATCCAAGTCATAGCGAGATCCACACATTAATCAGGAATGATACTATGTACATATATGCATGCATATATCGCATTGCATGCGTACTTAACTTAGATCTGTCTCTCTGTTTAGCTATACGTAATACTAACTACATGTATGTATCATCGACTACATCATGACCTTTCGTCGACCCCTTTCATCCACTTCTCAATCGGAGTATAGACTGCTCACGTAGATATTTTTTTACTGAAATATCTTTTTTAACATTTCTCATGCATGATTTACTGCACAAGCTCGACACTCGATATTAGTGCTTTGAGAATAAGGTACTGTGTCTGAGACTACAAGAGATTTGTCTGGCGTGTGATGTGGACCGGAGCTCATACATATTCATATTATGATGTCGCAAGACTTCTATTTTGGGCTTGAACAATTTTTCTTCTCAATTTGAGATGGCTGTAGCTATCGGCCTCAAACCAACGCAAGATTGACAGAAACATCGTACTCTATCTACCTTCGAATGTGCAGTTTGTAAAAATCTGTATTTAAAAAGATATAATCTTTTTTCTTTATATTTTCTAGTTGTTAAAAGTGACATTTGTGCATATCTAATATGTTAATCTTTATCAAAAGTTCTTTGATATTAAATTGATTCCATATTTTAAGGCTCTACCTTCAGTCATTGAGAAGGATTTTAGTGAGCTAACCTCCGCGCCCTCTAGGACCCCTTTAAACCAAAGATTTTTGGGTTCGAATCCAACCTTAAGTATGTGGAAGTGTGGATGATGTGATATTGGGGTTTTATATTACATGTTCTTGTAAAAAGTCAGGACATCCAACTTTATGTATGTTGTGTATTTTATGTATTTTATCATCATTTTATGTTAACGTCCACTGAAACTGGGACAGAAGACTTTGTGCCACAGTTATTACATAACTATGTAGGATAACTTAATCTGTCCCTGGCATTCCAGTGGTTGCATTATCTTCATCTTTACATGTTTATTGTCTTTTTCTGATTCTTTATGTATTCGCTTTAATGCCGTGTAAAACACTACTACTACCACTATTTCTACCACTATTACTGCCAACTCGGCGTCAAGCCAAGTCCGTGGGAAAGGACTATCATTTAACTGCGAGGTGCAGTTGAAGGCGCCGATTTGTGCTAGTGAACTTGTCACAAATAATAACAGTGTCGTTTTTAGAAGAATGTGTAAGATCATTAATATAAATTAAAAACAGTAGAGGACCTAGGATAAAACCTTGTGGTACGCCATGTGTATAATAGAAGAAACTACTACTACTAATTCTACTACTTCTTCCACTATGTTCTACTACTATACATTTTTAATATATTGGTAGTGCTCAGAGTATGATTGATTTCTCACAAGAAAGCTTTGCTTAATTATCTCCATTTGCAAGAATATGCTGTAAAACACCTTTGTTTTCTCGCTATTTTCAGGGAATGTAGGCTTATAGCAAGAAGCAGATGTGAGGACTTTGAATTCAGTGCAGCCTGCAGATCTGATGGCAGCAGAGACTGTTCAGTCATTCCCAGAAGTCAAGCAAGAAATGGAGAGAGGGACACTTGATCATCACCAACCCACGTATAGAAGTGTAGCAGAAAGTGTCCATTTAGTCCCAGAAGATATTTTCAAGCAAGTAGCAGAGAGAGAGGGGCATCAAATCCTCTCAGAACAATGGATAGGAGTGCAGCAGAAGGTGTTCAGTCAGGCCGAGAAGATATGATCAAGCAAGTAGCAGAGAGAGGGCCCAGAGGGGCATCAAATCCTCTCAGAACAATGGATAGGAGTGCAGCAGAAGGTGGTCAGTCAGTCCCAGAAGATAATGTCAAGCAAGAAGTTCAGAGCAGGACCTTGAGTTCACTGCGTTCTACAGATATGTGCATAGAAACAACCCTCGGACATACTAACAAGCAAGAAATGGAAGGTAAGACCTCCAGAGATGAAACTGCCCCATCAGTCCCAGAACACAGTATGCAAAAAGCAGAGAGTTGGACCTTACATACTTCGCCAACTCCAAATAGGAGCTCAACAAAAATTATTCCATTTGTTGAAGGAGTTCTCATCAAGCAAGAGGTTGATAGCAATGCCGTTCATTACCTGTCACCCATGAATGTATTCATTCCGTCAGTCATAGAAGTTCTCATCAAGGAAGAAGCAGAGGCCTTCTCAACTGTTGGAGAGGAAATCAATCAGCTGCCCCTCGAAACCAACATCAAGCAAGAACCTACAGAAGAAAGTGAAGAGGAAGGTGTTCCATCAAGTCTAGAAGGTATTACTTGAATTGATATTCCAGTGAAACCTGTATACAAAGACTGCTCAAGGGAGGCAAAAAAGTGGTCATAATAAACAAATGGTAATGTAAATACAGACGTTCAGAATTAGGACATGACTGGCAAGGCCCCTTGGGCTCTCTTGAAGCAATCTGTTAAAGTAGACACACGAAGAATCAAAAGTGTTTTGAATTGATGCAAAACTCATATCATTGAGAAGGGGAAGCCTTACTGATCAAATCCAACAACTCTCCTCTTCAAAACATGTTTGGGGCCCGCAGTAATCAACTCTCAAAAATGTTAGTTTTGAGATCCAGATTTTCTGCCTTTAGCGGTCCTTCGTGGAGCGTCAATATTTGTGACGTCACACACGGGACACGGCTGGCTAGCTGCAGACTAATACACACGCGACTCCGGTACCGAGCTGTTTTTCCAGTGTGTGACGTCACTATTCAGAGCTCGCTATGCCCGTGTGTTTGGCTTATGTTCAGGGGCGCTTGGGGGTCTAAGAAGGGTCTTGAAAAATTGCATTTTACGCCTTTCCATGATATCTATATGATTTCTCAGCAAATCATTCATGTTTTTCAAGAGAAAATCTTTCCATCCATATGTAATTTGTTCTAATTATCAGTTGTTAGTGAATTTTCGTTGTGTAGTTCTTTTAAGTGGTGCTAAAAATAATGAGAATTTAACTGATGATATGTATCAAGACACAGTCAATGTGAGTTATTCATATTCACTTGTCCTGGTTTTCCAACAAAATCTTCTAGCAGTCTCTAGTCCCTTGACATTTAAGAGGTTTCAAGTATCTACTTTATCAGCTATTAAACACAAAGTGATTGTGCATTGCAGATCATCAGAATGAAAAATACTAAAGATACCTAATAAATCGCCTCAACAGCAATTTTAAACTTACTAATTCTTTTCCATTGAGGGTGTGACTGCCGTATTTGTAAGTGCAGAAATGGACCAATGAATGTGTTTTGTTTGCTGTGATCTCCTTGTACACGTACAGATGGAACTTGAAGGACTGCACTAACATTTAATAAAAAAAGACTGATTTTAAATAATTTGACACTAATGATTTATTTCAGGTAAAATCAGTCATGAAGTTGGTAGTACAACCCATAATCCTGTGTCAAGTACTGATGGAGACGAGGAATCTGAACATTCTACTTCAGAAGGTAGGTTTAATCTATAGTACAATGAGGTTTTTTAAGGCCTGGTCAGACCACATTGATAATGATAACGAATAAACGATAAAGTATATGTGCATATTGCAAGATGTATTTAGTGGTAAGACCTCACCAATTTTCACCAGAAAAATTTTAGTTGTGTCAGTCAAACACTGTTGTCACTGCTTCACTTCAAAGAAGTGCAATTATTGGGTTACAGATGTTATCGTTTCTGCTTGCTTCAAAAAAAATCATTGGCCGAGCAATCCCAATAGCAAGATGAAATAGTCGAGGCAGGCTCATTAGCATATATCGTCAATGTCTGACTTACATCTGCAACAAATTTCAAATACATTTTCCATTTTCATAACAGAACGATTTGGGAGCAATTTATCGAAGTAGTCATCATTATCTTTATCAATGAGTTCTGATCAGGACCTATCACCATAATCTGCTTGCTTTGATATAATTCAGTTCATGCAGATGTTAACTCATTCATTGTCAGACTTCATGCATCTTTATAGCTCAAGCTATGGTCACAAATCAGAGCGGCAACCGACCGATTAGTAGCCTGCCCAACAATCTTTGGAGAAGTCGAGCAGGCTGTAGAATCCCAGCGATGCCCTGTCGATTTCCCGTTGATTGCTGGTCAATTTTAGGCCAAGACTGAGCGAAATCAGGGAGCTTCTCCGGGCGGCGTCCCGTCACTGACCGGTCACTGCTCGGTGCCGGGCCGTTCGCCGGCTGGGTACCGACCTAATCGTACGATTTAGGTAAAAAATCGAAGCCGCTAGATCAAAGGCTGCCGAGTCCTGACCAATTTTGGACTCGCCTCCCAGTGACCGACTGATCTCCCAGCGGTGACCAGGCGGTGACTGCTCGACGGCCGTAATTAACTTAAATCGCTCTATGGCGAATGCTCAATTAGGTCGGCACCCGGCCACCAGGCTTAGTTTAGGCGGCGAGTGAAAGTTATCAGGCGCCGCCGGAATTTTAACTCCGCGCTTAAACTTCAGCAGCGACCGAGCGACGCCCTAAAAACAAGGGGTGCCCAGGCGGTCGCCGCACGGTTGCCACTCAAAGGCATTTGATACTATAAACCACAGCATTCTCCTCAAAAAAATGTCACACTATGGAATACGTGGGTTAGCCTTGCAATGGTTTGAAGATTATTTGTGTAAACGATCACAGTTTATACAATATAAAGACAATGGCCCGTATTCTGAAGTCGTGTCTATATTAGCCGCCACGTCTTAAGTTAAACAACTGTTTAGTTTGACACGACTTAGACAGGACTTAGACGTGAGGTCGTGTCTAAGTCCTGTCTAACTAAATTTCGTATTCTGAAGTTGTTTCTAAGTCTCGTCTAACTAAACAACTGTTTAAGTCCTGTCTAAGTGGTGTTTAACTAAACAACAGTTTAAGCTCTGCGCAAGTTGTGTTTAACTCGTAGTCATGACTTCTGCGCATGCCCAGTAGGCGTTAATTCTGACGAAAGACCCAATGCGCATGCGTGCGCGCACCGGATAAATAAATTAACGCACACAGCTACCGTATATAACGTTGTATTAACCGCCCTCGTGTATAAACCGCACCCCTCTTTTTCGCCCTCAAAAAAAAAAAAAAAAAAAAAAAAAATGTTTTTTTTTTTTTTTTTTTTTTTCCTTCTATTTTTTTTTTCGCAAGCGGGAAAAAAAAAAAAGTTTAAATTGTTGATGTTACTGGCTTTTACGGAACGAAAGAAATGAGTGCCACTTAAATATCAACAAAAAAAAAAGACGAATCGTGGGTTGGGGAGAAATGAAAACAATTAAATATCGCCGATTTTACTGGCTTTTATGACACAAAGTAAGCCGACGAAAAGAAAGAAATGAATGAAGAAACTGATTGCAGATACCCCCATGGCAGCATTTGAGGACAAAATGAGACAGATCGAAGGGAGGGAAGCGACAAGAGGCATGCCGACGGAAAGCAAGAAATGAATGAAAAAAATTGCAGATACCAACAGCGTTTGAGAAAAGGAAGAGACTTCGAAGAGAGAAAGCGAAAACAAACGCTGATATTTAATAAGGCATTTAGAATAAGTAAGCCGACGGGAGGATAGAAAGAAATCAATGCCAAAGTAAAGAGAACGAGAGAGAGTGTCACGATTAATTATCGCTGATGTTTAATACAGCTTTTATAACTTAAGTAAGCCGACGGAAAGAAAGAAAAGAGAGAGAGAGAAAGAAAGAGAGAAAGAGAAAATGGGAAAGCAAAAACAATTAAATATCGCTGATGTTTGATAAGGCTTTTATAACAAAAAGTAAGCCGATGGAATGAAAGAAATGAATGAAGGAAATGAATGCCGATAAAAGAGACTGATCGAGAGAGAAAGCGGGAAAAATAGAAGTGAAAGGACAAACAAAAGTGTTTATTTTGGTATCTTTCTTGATCATTTGTGGCCCTGAAAAGGGCCGTTTGGGTGTACCGGTAGGTATTCGGTTATTTAAAACCCGTAGAAATCCTCTTCGTCGGAGGAGTCCTCGAAGATTCCCCGTAGCTCTCCATCCGATGCCTCGTCGTCGTCTTTTCCGTCGTCGCTGTCCTCCCAGATGAGATCGTCCTCAGTCCCGTCGAGGTTGTTTGAGATGCTGGTCTTCAGGAAGGAACGCCTCACCATCTCGGTTGGGATCGAATCCCACACGTCGGCTATCCATTGGCAGATGGTTGGCAGATCCACCTTGCGTGTCCGCCCCGATTTGGTGTGAGTTTTCTCCCCCTCCATCATCCAAGAAGTCCACCGCTGCTGCAGGCCGCTCTTGAAAGGCTTGTTGATGGAGACATCAAGGGGCTGCAGCAACGATGTCATCCCCCCAGGGATGATGGCGATGTCGGTGTTATGGTGCCGCAGGACGTTCTTCGTTGGCTCCGACTTGTGGCAACGAAAGGCATCAAGGACCAACAGACTTCGCTTTCTCGAGATGCCGCCATCTCGCCGAGCCCACACCGTCCTAACCCAGTCCTTGGTGATTTCCTCGTCAAACCACCCCTTCGCCTGGACCCTAACGATGACACCTTTCGGGAAGGTCACCTTAGGCATTGTTTTGCGCTTAAAAACAATGTAGGGAGGGAGCTTCCCCCCATCAGCCGTACAGCAGAGCATAACAGTGAACCGATCTTTCTCGTGACCTGTGGTCACCACCGTCACTGTTTTCTCTCCCTTCTTGGAAACGGTCCTTGCCCGTGGCAAGTCGAAGGTCAGCGGGGTTTGGTCGGCGTTTCCGATACGGCTCAGCGGGTATTGATGTTCTCGCCTCTGCCGGATGATGAAGCGCTGGAAGTTTGTGATTTTCTCGTCAAGGTCGTCGGGAAGCTTCTGGGCGATGTGAGTGCGACGGCGGATGGACAAGTCATGGCGACTCATGAAGCGATGAGCCCACATCCGAGAGCTAGGGAAGTCATCGATACCGTCGGCCTCAGCAATGCACCGTGCCTTGATGCAGAGCTCGACAGTTGAAAGGGCGAGACCCTCCTTCCGCTTTTCGTGGACCCACTCGACCAGTTTCTCCTCCAACGATGGCCACTTCGCAGTCTTCCCTCTCCTGGCTTTCTTCCTACTTGGCATCGCCTTGATCTTGTCGATTCCCTCTCGCCAACGCCGAATCACCGACTCGTCAATCCCGTGCTGCCGTCCTGCCGCTCGGTTACCAAACTCTTCTGCATACCGGCAGACGGAGAGTTTGATGGCCGCTGAGAATGATCGCCTTGCAGGCATTGTCGCTATGGGTAGTACGATTGAATCACGGTGGTTGATAGGTAGCTTGGTGGCAGATCGATGAACTTGAATCCGGAGAGAATGATGTCTTTACCGATGAGAGTGAAAGAACGCATGATTAACAAGGCAATCATCCCGTCTTATATACTTTTCGAGCTGGAGATGGTGACAGCCAAGATCAGTCATCAAAGGATCCGCGAGCGATATCAATGGACACCGCTAATGCTCATCCTTACAAAGGAAGTGATTTAAGTAGCGAAGTTGTTTTCTTGTGCGCATTGTTTAACGAACGAACAATAGATTTGGTTTGGTTTGGTTTAGTTTGGTTTAGTGCAAAAGAACAGCATACAAGCAGCTCGCAGGCTGAAAATGTTCAATTTACAAACAAATACAAAATATAGAGAGATCTAAACATACGAAACTCATCTCTCTTTCTTTATAAATTATATAAAACCCGGTATTTATCCATATATGTACCTTGTCATACCGGTACTCGCTTCTTTTAATTTTCGATTGACAGTTTAAAATAAAGCTATTATGACACATCAGTTCTCTCTCTTTAAAAAATATATAAACCCCGGTATATATCCATATACCTTATCACACCGGTACTCGCTTCTGAATTTTCGATTGACAGTTTAAAATAAAGCTATTGTGACACATCAGTTCTCTCTCTTTTAAAAATATATAAACCCCGGTATATATCCGTATACCTTATCATACCAGAACTCGCTTCTTTTAATTTTCGATTGACAGTTTAAAATAAAGCTATTGTGACACATCAGTTCTCTCTCTTTTAAAAATATATAAACCCCGGTATATATCATACCAGTACTCGCTTCTTTTAATTTTCGATTGACAGTTTAAAATAAAGCTATTATGACACATCAGTTCTCTCTCTTTAAAAAATATATAAACCCCGGTGTATGTCTATATACCTTATCAAACCGGTACTCGCTTCTTAATTTTTCGATTGACAGTTTAAAATAAAGCTATTATGACACATCCGTTCTCTCTCTTTAAAAAAAAATATATAAACCCCGGTGTATGTCCATATACCTTATCGTACCGGTACTCGCTTCTTAATTTTCGATTGACAGTTTAAGATAAAGCTATTATTATTATTATTAACAGTGACAAATATTAAGCTACTATTTCTTCGATTTGATTGAAGAGTTGTAATATTTTTGGTAGCCGACAGAAATTATTACATTTATCGAAAAGTAACCCTTTTATAATTTAAAAAAAAAGG